TAGATAGCAATCTTCATTGGTCAACCCACATCCCCAACTGCATTGGTAAATTGCGACGCCTTTCATTTCAAATACGAAAGCTCAGGCACTTTCGCGCATCCCAGTCAGTTATTTCTACTTTTGTTTATCAATGTGTTTTCCCCATCTTACTCTACTGTTCCCCGGTTATTTTTCCCGGTTTACTCAAACAGGATTTCAAAGTCTTACGTCGCGGTCTGACCATTATTAGTCCTGTCTCTTCTATTCCTGTGAATGAATTAGTTGCAAAACTTTCAGAGTATGAAGTAACTTCCTGTGTGAATTTTGCTGAGAGGATTCTCACCGATCCTGACCACCCATTGCATGCAGAACTGACACTTTGTCGTTCCTATCATTCAACAAGCTCGCAATTCCGCAAATTTCATCTCGAATTAATGCATACCGCAATTCACCCATACCGTATCTTGCTCGTCTACTCCCCCATACCGTATCTGCTCGTCTACTCATAAACAAAGAGCGGACAATGAGTGAACTTTGTCTTAACCTTGGATTATGAAATGTCCCCATGCCTGTAAAAACTTTTCTCTCCGTTGATTATGTGCATTGTGACGGTTAGCGTGTATGATTTTTTAACTGAAATGTGAGCTCCAGTGCTTGCAAAAGTTATACACAATACAATACAATACACAGAATTAGAGTCAACAGAATAACAAAACATTTGACCCCAAAGAGGTGTGATCAAGATAAAATCCTAACGTGGGTAACTAAAAGCGGAGCGATTACACGGTCGGTAGAAAAAACACAGAAAGACAATCTATGAGAACAAACCAAACACAACCTTGATCTGCGCTAACTAATCCAAACTTTTAACAATTTGCTATCACACGATCGGATTTTCGTGACTGCACTCATCTGACCTTCAAACCGGTGAACTATACCACCAATACCCGTTGACCCCGATTCACATATGAGAAGAAGGAAACATTCGGTATCCGCATTCTCCCGGGTCGGAATGAATGCTATGGAGCATAAAGATATTTCTCAGGCGATCAGCATCCGGTAAACCTACCGTTGGGATAACGGAGGTACTGGGTAAACCAAATCTGGGAACTTCAGGTTGTGAAGCAATACATAGAAACCGATAAATGTCTCTTTGGTAGGGGTTAGCCCTCTGTGGCAAGCTGGTTTGATGTGAATAGGCATGAATCATGGTCGCGAATGAAGCAGAGAATCGCAGTAGCAATCGTACGCTGAGCTATTCCATCACCGAGATGCAGGAAAAGAGCCACACAAAAAGCGGTTAGGTTGGTGAGGAAAATCAATAAGATTAAACAAAATGTATAAGGGAATTGTACTGGTTATACAGGTCTCTACCAATGGCCTGCTTGTGTTCTTGAAATCATACTGCTCCTGTTTGAACAGCCGGATTTCTGATTGGTCAGGACCATTGGCCTGTGGTTTGTTGTCCAGAAAGTGTAACGAGTCGCCCCGCGGCTAACATTATGTCGCAGGCTAGGAGCACCACACAAGTGAGAGGATCTAATGAGGAATATTCCAATGTTCGTGAAGTAATAACCTTATTTTCATATCTACCCTAAAACAGTAATATGCCTTTCCGCGGCTTAAAACGCACAACAAGATGAATGTTGAGCAACTGCGGTCTGAACGCGAGCCGGCCACTAAAAGTTCCTTGGATGATCAACTATCAGTGGAAGACGCATCTTAAGTAGGGGATGCCTGGAGCACAGTGAAGTAGCAATGTTTGAAGTGGTGAAACAATGTTTCAGTTCCTTCGTCTTGAAAGATAAGGGTCGGTCTTTTTCTAACAATGGGTTCGATTACTCATTCAATGTTGTTAGGTGCCATTGCTCCATCATAACGTATTCTACTGTACCGTCGAAAGAGCGATCGAGTTCATTCATCGATCGGTCGGATGGTTCAGCTGCAAAACGGGACGTGATGCTTGTCCAGCCAGAACCCGCACCTTGACCACAGCCTAGAGTCTTTAGCATGCCCAGTTAACTACGACTGTGTGCAGCAGCAGTGCTATTATCACACGGCTGGATTATAGGTGACAACAAGAGCACCACAAACATTACGAATCGGTGATCAGACAGTCTCGCGTCAGGTTGAGAGATTTCAAGTTGCGCAGATCGCGCAGAGAGTGAGAGAATTTAGGTTACAGGTGAGGGGGGAAAAGATATGAAACGAGGGAGCAATAGTAATGTACTTCAAACTAATCAATGTTCCATTGATGAAAACCAATCCACCGAATGGTGCCCCAGAAGGAAACAGAGCTCCACCATTTTGCGGTCAATATGCGCACTCGATCAGTTTGTATACCTCTTTATCTCCCGCTTTGAGCCTCGAACCCTCATCCACCCCTTTATTACTCGTAGCTGAAACCTTGCTTTATCTCTCCAAACAATTTCGCCGCCTCCTCAACGATGCTTTAAGTATCGGTTAACCCCATACTAGTTTAATCCATCTGTAGAGAGGTTGTTGGCGTGAGGATGCTGTTGCATGACTCGGCTTCTTGAAGTCATAAATGAGAGTATGGTATGATAAGTGAAGGAGACTAAAGAGATAGGATATGCTCCAAGGGACATGACAGTCTACCGGTTCAGAGGTGTTACATTTGTCAGATTATCCCGGCATCAATGAAGCACTGTTATTAACCACCCTTTCTATCAACACCAGTGTGTATTTAGAGAAAAGATCTTTCCTTCTGAGTTCAGGTAGGGCTCCCCATTAATATTGGTGCTCGAAGCAGTTCATGATGGCACAGAAAACTACGAAGATCTTAACTACAGCGTGCTCTGTTTACAGCGACATTCGGAAACAACCAAAACAGCGACTGGTCATCCAATCACACAGGGTAGTTCACAGAGAGACAGATAGATAAACTTATGCTATCTTCCGGTTTATCATGTTGTTCATACAATGAAGCTTTGTCCTACTGTTATTATTACGTGTTGTAAATATCGTGATGTAACGCCAGTAAAATGTGCATATATATATTTATATGAATCATTAATAAATAATGTAAACGCCGGTTGGTGTCTGAAATGCGCATTTGCTCGCTGCCCACCACTGACGCGTGCACCAAACTGACCGCGATCTTAGCGATTCACCGGTTCACCACAAACTTGTGGTGAGGTGAAGAGCCTCTTTTTGCGCTACAGACTAAATGACTACGCTACTGAAGGACTGATTGAAAGGCTCGCATACCAAAGATTTAATCATGTTTTACCGCAAAATCCTTCGTCTCTGCATAGAATTGGGACCTAGATGATTGATAGTAATTTGGTTTTAGTCGTACAAGTAGGATGGTACATGTGATCGGTGTCTTCCGCAAAAGGAGTACCGCAACAGTTACTCCTGGACTGAGAATGTAGTGGCACTTCACACATAACAGCAACTGCGAAGAAACCATCGCTAACAGAGGTTTACATAACCGCTGTGGACTGTAAACCAACCAACACCCCTGTTAAAAATATATTCCTCAGAATAGGAAATTTTCTATTGAGTTATTGGTACTGGTTCGAAGGAAAGAGAGAGGTTTGACTAATCAAACATTTCAAATAAACAAACCACATTGGGAAGAAGAATCAAGGGCGCGGATTTACCGAATTACGAACGAGCTCACGTTTAATGACTTTCTAATGCATTATTTAACTGTCTAAAAAGAAATGGCATTCATCACACTAGGAACTTTATATATATATATATATATATATATATATATGAAGAGAGGATTCGATCGCTCAAATGGAGAAAGATCAAACGTATTTGTCCAACAAAAAAGAGCGAATTAGGTTGTTAGTTTAAAAGAATGTTCTTCTATCACTTCACAATTAAAACCAGAAAACGGTGTTACAGATTAAACGAGTAAAACTACCTGTTTGAAGACATCACAGCGACTCCGTTCGACAAAACCCAAACGATTCTGGAACAAACGAATGCTTGGCTTGTTTTCCATGGAAACTTTGGCCACCAATGAGGATAGTTTATGGGGTAAATGTTGTCCCACAAATTGCAAGAACCCTGCTAACGCCTCAGCCGCCAAGCCTTGACCGCGGACTCGTTCTTCGGCCAGCATTACGGAAAGTTCTCGTGTAACATGAGAGTCAGTGGGTTGTAGAGGAGAGGACAGACAACGTGAAGCAGAACATGGATGGCAGAAAACCACAAAGATAGCGCACTGTGTTTTGACAGACAAACCAGGGGAGTTTTCATTTTAAGCTAAACATCCTCGATGGTGACGTTTCACTTGTCAATAAATGGTCATTAAAAGAGATGAATAATTATTATGAAAAGTGTCTTCTACCCTGCATTCACCAAGATTTACCAGGATCCCTACAACAAGTTATATGTCAATCATATCTCTCAGCCTATTCTACATTTTCTGTCAACACATTAAACTGGTGAATGTTATGTACTGAGTGACAGTAAACGAAAACTGGAGCACGAAAGCCTATCTTGAATAAATGGTCAAATCAGATCATTGACTTTTCTGATACACATTCATCTCACAAATCACATCATCAGTTATACATCGGCATTTCTGGTTCCATTCAAGGAACGCTTCGTGGAATTAAATGTATGTCGATTTAGCACATAATGAAATGTACTCGGTCTCGGGGACCGTAACCAACGAAAGCGAAATAGTTCATACTTATCTTCGCACAGCGCAGCTTCTTTGTCTCCGGAGTCTTCATATTGTGGCGTGAGAAACAAGTTGATATCTCCGATCATTGCCGCCACCTCAGACATTTTCCAACGTGTTGGATCATCCTGTAGTGCGGCTCGTCGCGAGCGATTCGGCAGTATACTCCGGTCCAGCAGTATGAATGTAAGCCGATCGTCCAGCTCGGTCCATTGTTTTTGAGCTTCATATTCCTATGTAATGTAGGACATAGGGGTTACACTCAAACGTTCGGGAAAGAAAATGGCAAACGACTGAATTATCCGCGGGAACAGAAGAATTCGGTCGTGCAAGCAATCGGGAAAATCCAAACCAAGAGGCTAGTGAGTACAGGCTAAGTAGATGATGGGCCACCATAAACAGAGTTCAGAANAGTTCAGAATAGTGTTCAAACAAATTAATCCATCTGATCAACTTTGCCGGTCGCGTAGAATGTAAATCTGAGCTCCGTTTGCGTTTGATTTCGGACCTGCACGGAAATCGATGATGGATACTTTATCAGTCCAGGTTTCTGCTCTGAGACCCAAATTCAATGCACTAAAAAGCGATACACAAATCGTTTCACTTTGGCTCTCAAACAGAACTGACCTTAACAAACTCGTAACCGGGAAAAATATCACAATACATGTGAGTATTAATGGCAGACTCAAGGCATAATAGGATGCTGTGATGAAAAATGTGGAACAAAGTCGGGTAAGCCCATAGAATACACAAGTGAACGCAACAGCAAAGTAGGGTGTGGGCCTAAGGAAAATGCAAGATGAATTCGAAGCTTACACAAAGAAAACAGAGTTTAGGCAAAGAAACAAGCATGCATTCTAAACAATACCCGAAATGTTGGAAAACAGGATCCAGCATATCTGGTGGAGTATTTTTGACATTTTGAAAAAGATCCTTGCAAGAAAAGTTACTGAAACTGGCTATGACAAACATGATTTCAGTCGGGATACGTCTCCGAATGAAATTGTCATATAAGTTGACAAACTCGTTGAAGCTCTTAGAAATTTGCATTGGTTACTGCAAGCTCCGGCTATCGCGATAACCCAGATGAAACAAACTAGCTCATTAGAGACTCGCACCTTTTTCGATAAAATACTAACTTGATCAAGGTAAGAATGGTTTAATTTTGCGGAGCATGGAGCATCATTTACAAAGATCGGAATCGTTTTCTCAATACGGTTAGTCCCTACAAGCGTAAAGAATTGTTTGCCGCTAATGATGATAGAATAAAGCCTTTGGAGTAACTTGGTTACACAACTCCATTGAATGGTTCCAATGAAGAATGTGGAAGAAACAAAAAGTTGATGAGTGAAGTACACATACTTCTTAGGATTCAACGCAAATTCGAATGGCAAAAAATGTTCGGACAATTACACATCACTTTTATCCCCAATTCGTTTTTTCGCTCCTCGAGGAATGTGTACAATCCATCATCAGAGCAACACATGATTACAAGGATTCGGAATAGTAAAGAATCGAGCAACACAAGAAGAATGATTCTCGAGACTGTACAGGTTAGCATCCTCTCTAAATGTATCTCACGAAAAATAGAGATACTGCCCAGAAACAAACCTAAAATCCCACAGAATTCATTTGTGAAGATTCAGTGCACTGAAAACCACACAAAGTTAGCGAACAAGAGTGTACGACCATCAATATTTTATTGTTCAAGGATTTAAGCCAGACTGGGAAAAACTCGATGTTACTCGTGGGTGAGCGTTTATATACAGTTGAGACCAAGTTCTCTGAAACTACAGGTATCGATCAAACTCGTGCAGCACCAGAATTTTTCCTCCCAACGCTCAATTTTTCGAGTCTACTTCATATGATTGAATATGACTTGGCTCCAGGAAAGATGCAACATATTTGTGACAGAATCAACTTATTGATCAAATAGCATTAAAAATTTACGAATTTTCGATTTCAACGGCGCTTGCTGCACCATTTCGGACTAAATGCTCCTCACCAATTACTACTTATGTGCGTGTATGACACTGGAAAGTGCCACGTTTCGATTCAGACTACTTGTGAGTAGCACCGAGAGAGTAGCGATCAAATAGATAACGCACACACGACCATAGAGACGCAACGTCTGTGAGCCCGGAACACAGAAAAGATGATTATATCGGAAGCCCCAAAATTATTTCAATGAATACCGTAACTTAGGAGAGGAATCGTATAGGCAATAAAGAAGACCCAATTGATTGTTATGAAACAGCTGACAACTGATTACTCTCATTACCAGTGTCAAAACTGTGGCCACCTTAGACGTCCGTCACTACCAACATTGTCAGGCGGCTTCGTATACCATTCGGCATGGGCTGTGATAAACTTGAACTAGCTTTTTCAGAGTAGGTAGCATATCAACTTTAAGTTAACTGGCACATACACAAAGTGAAGGTCCCGGTATTACAACTCGGTCCCCCAAATCAGTCAGCTGAATCGAAGGTATGCACCGTGTGAAAGTAGTCATCTATCAACGCACAATGAGAAGCAAACCAATTTACCACGAATTCGCTCATTGCTCAGTTAGTCGTAGTATGCTGAAATCTGAGAAAATAACGGATCCCACAGAAGCACAAAAACACTGGATGCTGAGCTTATCAATGACTGTTGAAAAGGACATAACTGGATGAAGATTTTTAGAGATCGAATTCGAATTACCTTCCCGTTCGTGTACACCTTATTGTTTTGAGTAAGGGAAAGGTAGGTGTAATGAACACCAGACTCAGGAAGGCAGTTACGATTATCCAATTTTGAGGGCTTGGAATGTCGGACCACATGGAACTCTCGTGGTATATTAGTGGAATGCATTGGTTGATTTATAAATATCCCCCGGCAGTCTACAACAAGCGAAGGTCCAAGGGTAGCAGTGTCCACTGATAAAACCAAATCANTGACTGGCCCCTTATGTCGTCTGGTTTCGTTCACTTCAACATGAAATCCAATAACTTTTTCGAACATGGTTGGGCATTCAATCTTAGAAAGGAAGGAACGACTAGAAACAAGGTTTTCTTAGTAAGCGTCGGAAGTATGAGAGAACGGCACTTTCAGAGAAGTTCACAAGACAGTGGCGTGTACATTCAACGCTGGAAAGCCACTGCGGTACTCGTGTGAGAGCATATACAGAAGTTCACACCGTATTGAAGAAAGTAAAAGATCTTGTGAAAACGATAGAAGCCTCGGTCATTGAAACGGGTCGTGTAAACTGAACCTGCATTCGTGATTAAAGTAAAATAAAAGATTAACTTTGACGATGAGCATAACCAACGGACGTCGTGAACACTGAAAGCACATTATGTTTCTTTCAAATCGAACCGTCCGAACATTGTGATTCAACCAATGGGTTGCTGATAGACTTCAGTACAGTTTAACGAATATTTGCACTCAGTGGAGAGAACACTGTTTTATGATGCATGCTGCCTCCGAAAGCCTCGTTATGTCCGGGGGTGGGTGTTATCTCTGGTTGTGGCTGGTCACCCTTCCCTTGCACTCCATGAAATTTTCCTATGCGACTAAGCGTGTCAAATAGCTTCTGTCGAAGAAGCCATACTCACCTTCTTCTCGAGGCAGAGATGTTTTCCCACCAAAGTGAGAGGACGAAAAGCCAGCATCCTGGACTATAACTGGCTCGATGAACCAGTGGCAGTTTACCAAGAGGAAGACAAATATTGCGAGATGTTAAAAGCTATTTTTCAACACTTCTCAGTCGTTACAACGTAAAACAATCTGGAAGTTATACAAGAAAGTTTTGATAACTACAATGGTTCAACGGACAACAGTCAGAGTAGCGGGAGGGGGGAATCAGTTCCATGGCAGTCTGACTGGTTGTATCAGAAACTTTTGTGCGCACAGGATTGGGTTACGTAACTTGATTAGCATCAACTCGCTAAACGCCAAGATCCTGGGATTTGTGTTACGTAATCACGGCTTGAACGATAAATGTGGATCAACGATGTACCAATTGTCATGAGATGTTTTTTGATTGATGACCCTGGATTTCTCTAATCAGATTGACCTTTAAGAATGTGTTGCGTCACTGATTGTACCAATCACTTGGGAATGTGTTCAGACATCCGTTGTGACAGGGGCCGATTCGTTCTGCCGATGTAAGTGTCACCGCAACTGCAGGTGAACTGGTAGACGACATGGAAGCAGAATTGTGCGGCTGGTTCTGTTTTCGAGTGTTCAAACGAACTCCTTGGGTATGCGGCATCAATCGAAGCTGTGCGGCAGGAAACGATCAACATAATGCCGCCTTGGGCTAATGACACACGTCGTTCATTCTATGATCACCTTTGAAGGCGAGTCTGAGCAGGACACTTTTCTTCGGTACTTCGCGGACGGGATCAACTGATGACCTTCGTCTGTTTTGCACGTCGATAAATTTCTCTGGATAACCATTATCCAGTAGCGTCTTTCGCAAAGGAAAAGATTCTTTGTTGGTGGTGGCGCAGTGGTTTAGTCGCCGTCACCGACGCCTGCCGCCTTTCGTGTAAATCGGTAAATATAATCAACACCAATCAGTAGATGCCGATTCACTTTCCCACTCTGAAACCAGGAGTCTAATCAACTGTGAGACCAAAACTGAATCTCCGTCACTAAAGAGTTGCGAGGTAGAACCTAGCACCTTTTGCGACAATTTATTTCCGGATGGACTCAGTTGCAGAAGTCGACCTTTTATCAAGTGGTATTAGGTAGTCCGTTAATGCTTCATACCGATGGAGACTACTTGAATTGGGTTGACTAACGAACAACACGGCGTTGCTGCGTATTAATCAATTTGTCGTCGGGCTTCTGAATACCTTACTTATACATAATTTCTGTATTGATGTACCTTATTTGACAGAAACGTTTGCGACTGTGTTATCCCTATCCGCAGTATTTTCCATTTCTACCATACACTTCCCGCAGTCATTTATCAGGACCTTGATGAGCTGGCGTTTGAGGGGTTTGTGACTATCATCATAGCCTCCAGAGGAATAGTTGTGCGGATCTCCAAAAAGGTAGCTGAGGTCGTTTGTGCATGAATCTTGTTTCAGAATATACTGCTTGTTTGATAGATATCTGGATTGCTTCTTTTGACGTGTTCCTTCCATTAGCGGTTGACCTGGAAGGTGATGACAGAGTCCTGCTTCGTAGGCTGATTTGCAACTGTCGTGCTGTGGGTATCTGTTTCCGGTTGCGCTTGTCAATTTGTCTCTCAGGCTTAGGCATAATCTGACTCAACGATGTGGGGTCCACAACCACGGGTGTTGACCAGCAAGAGCGG